GCCGATGTCGTATGTACTGTATGCATGTTGAACTTCTTTTGCACCGTACGTAGCCAACCGTGATGACCGGAAGTGCTTTGCACGTGCCGAAAATGTCAAGCGTTCAGCAACAAGCAGCACGATCAATGTTGTAATCGATTATAGTTAACGCTTTTTCTTGGATTGAGTAAAGTTGTTATAGTAAGGGCTCGGGGGTGGGGGGGGAGGAGACGGTGAGGGCATTTTAAAGGCGAGCGGTGCAAGGGAAGAAGCAGAAAGATAATTGTTGTGACCTGGCTGTGTGGCGAGTGAGCGGGTGAGTGGTTGAGTGAGTGGGTGGGTGAGTGAGTGAGTGGATGAGCGAGTGAGTGAGTGGGTGAGTGAGTGGGTGAGTGGGTGAGCGAGTGGGTGAGTGCGTAAGTGAGTGAGTGGGTGAGCGAGCGGGTGAGTGGGTAAGCGAGTGAGTGGGTGAGCGAGTGGGTAAGCGAGTGAGTGAGTGGGTGAGCGAGTGGGTGAGCGAGTGACTGAGTGGATGCGCGAGTGGGTGAGTGGGTGAGCGAGCGGGTGAGTGGGTAAGCGAGTGAGTGAGTGGGTGAGCGAGCGGGTGAGTGGGTAAGTGAGTGAGTGAGTGGGTGAGCGAGTGGGTGAGCGAGTGAGTGAGTGGGTGAGCGAGTGAGTGGGTGAGCGAGTGGGTGAGTGGGTAAGCGAGTGAGTGAGTGGGTGAGCGAGCGGGTGAGTGGGTAAGTGAGTGAGTGAGTGGTTGGGTGAGCGAGTGGGTGAGCGAGTGACTGAGTGGATGCGCGAGTGGGTGAGTGGGTGAGCGAGTGAGTGAGTGGGTAAGCGAGTGAGTAAGTTGGTAAGCGAGTGCGCGAGTGGGTGAGTGAGTGGATGAGCGAGTGGGTAAGTGGGTAAGCGAGCGAGTGAGTGGGTGAGCGAGCGAGTGAGTGGGTGAGCAAGTGGGTGAGCGAGCGGGTGAGTGGATGCGCGAGCGGGTGAGTGGGTCAGCGAGCGAGTGAGTGGGTGAGCGAGTGGGTGAGTGGGTGAGCGAGTGAGTGGGTGAGCGAGCGGGCGTGTGGGTGAGCGAGCGGGTGAGCAAGTGGGTGAGCGAGCGAGTGAGTGAGCGAGCGGGTGAGTGGGCGAGCGAGTGAGTGAGCGGGCGAGCGGGTGAGTGGATGAGTGGGTGAGTGAGTGAGTGAGCGGGCGAGTGAGCGAGTGAGTGGGTGAGCGAGTGAGTGAGTGAGTGAGCGAGCGGGTGAGTGGTTGAACGAGTGAGTGAGTGGGTGAGCGAGTGAGTGAGTGGGTGAGCGAGCGGGTGAGTGGTTGAACGAGCAGGTGCGTTGTTGTTGTTATTGTTGTTTTGACCTTCAGTGTGGTGGTTGAACACAGCATGGACGAGAGAGAGAAACAAACGTCAGTGGTGGACCAAGTCCTCGAAGTGGCTGGAGAAATGAATGAGTAAAGTTCACGGGGAACGGGGTAGTAGCGATAGGAGAGTGACGAGGAAGTGACTGTCCGCCGTGAGTAAGCGAGTGACCGGAGTGAATTTGTTACGTTTCCGTCTCCTTGTTCTGCTCTCTCATTGATGCCGGAGGTCGGGGTTTTGGTCCCAACTCTGATGCCTGCTGTATATTTGGAGTTTGCGTGTTTCTCTCTCTCTCTCTCCGTGGATTTTCTGTTTGCACAGTCACGTAGTCACTTTAAGATGTTTTCTTGTTCGTATTTTTGTTTGTTGTGGTTGCACCAGATTCAAGAGCCGAATGGCTCACAGGGCTATACCAAAATAAAGAAACTGAAAAAAAAACTGAAAAAAATAAAGAGCTCTCCCGTTCACTTATGCCCGAGATCGTCGAGATCTGTCCAACGCTGTGACTTTTCATCAGAGGTCTATGCTCTGCTACCGTAGATCACACACGCCAACAGCGATCATCGCCCCCTACCGCGAAAACTCGGCTGGGTCTCTCCCTGAGATAAGAGTCACGAGACTCGGTTGAGACATTTGCCTGGGTTAAGAAACTCCATCAAAATGCGGTTCGATCATCAATTATCCGGAGGTATCGGGGGCGCCCGATAATCACTAATCATGATTTAAACGAGCTTGTATTTTGCACACACTTGCATGCCATTATATGTGTAGGTATTGTGTATGTGTTTTTTTGGTGTTCTGCATTGGTTTACGATATGAAATTCGCATAAACGTACAGATAGACAAACCTAAATATCCTAATTTGAAGCTTTCGTGACTGCAGGAATCCATACTCTTTGGTTCTTTCGGTAAAGTCACGTAGAGTATAAAAACATAATAATAAATCACGACGTTTCGATCGCAACACGAGCGGTCGTCCTCATGCGAAAAAAAAGTATCCAGCAGTGGAACTGATTGATTATACGGCCGCTCGTGTTGCGACCGAAACGTTGCGATATATTATGTTTTATTTTATACTTCTACCGCCGTGAATTGACCGAAATAACCAAACAGTAGAAATATCTTCTTTGGTTCTTTCGGTAAAGTCACGTAGAATGAGAATAAAATAATAAATTAATAAAATAAAATAACACAATAAAATTCTCACGACGTTTCGGCCACAACACAAGCGGCCTTCATCAGGTGAAGGGACGAGACTGTCTGGAGGACAGCGCTGGAGCTGCAGCTGGAGCTCCAGCTGCAGTCTCGTCCCTTCACCTGATGAAGGCCGCTTGTGTTGTGGCCGAAACGTCGTGAGAATTTTATTGGTATTTTATTTTATTATTTTATTCTCATTCTATGTGACTTTACCGAAATAACCAAAGAAGATGAATCCTTGCAGTCACGAAAGCTTTAAATCGAGAAGTAGAAATATCCTACTTAAAAAAGTTACCGTATTTACTGTACCGTACTTAACACTCCAATCATCTTCGGGGTGATGTATAGAGGATACGTTGCAGTATTTTCATTAAGTTGCACGTAGTGTATAATGTACTATATATATTTAACACTGAAATCAAGCGTAGCTACTATTTTTTTTGTCACGCACGCGGTGCCGATAGCCGGACTGGGCACAACCTTTGGAGCGGTTTCGCCTCATCGGCCCTTGGCAGCAGCCGGATAACTTTGGAAGCAGCCGGATGGATAATATAATTAATCGATGATCAACTGTCCTTATCGGTAGCAGCTGGATAATCGATGATCAACGTGTATACACCGACGTGACCTCCATTCACTTTCATTGAGATTCGCTAATTCATGTCACCACAACTTTAAAATATAGATATTTTTAAAATATTAATTGCATTCTATTGCATGTTTATGTTACAAGAGCCTTAACTTCCTCGCCCGCCATGCAGGAAGTCTGTGTTCGATCCAGACCCTGACGCCTGCTGTATATTTGGAGTCTGTGTGTCTCTCTCCCCGTGGGTTGCGTGGATTTTTTTCTCTAGGTCTTTCGGTTTTTTTCCCTCCACATTTAAAATCGGCATCAATACGCGTTTAGAGCATTTGGCTGCTATAAATGCCCACGGCATAAGCCACTTCGTTGAGCCTTAATTTGTGATACAGCCAGGTCGCATCTGAAAACAAGAACCATATCGCAGTTCAGTGGGCCTTACCTGGTAAAATAAAAAATATATATTGCAAAAAATAATAGGTGCTCGCTAACAGCATTTGCTCCATAGGAGTTACACAGCCGATTGGAGAATCACCGCACCGAGTGTATTGTGCACGACGCCGCCGTGGTGCCATAGGATGAGTGCGCCAGAGGTCGCTGGTTCCATTCCATCTCCCGGCGCGGCAGTTGAGGCAACTGCGTAAGTTTCTTCCACCAGTCGATCGGCAGGTGACGCTTGATGGCGGGGTAAAGTGTGGGGAGTCTCGCGTCTTTTCAAAGTCGTCTGGCCAGCATGCAACAGCATGCAAGAGGAGGCCCCTGAATGTCTCTCTCGAGCCTGCTGTTGAGAGTAGAGGCCTTTACCACCAGCGGTGCCGTGAGCTGGCAACTGCAGGGCTGCGCCTTAATCCTGTCCGTTACTTCACAAGTATGCCCTTTAACAGCCTCCCTTAAACTAACGTCAGAGAAATTACGTGGGCAAGTTTTTATTTGTTTTTTATTGAACTCTCAGAACTACATTTCCCACTGCACCTTATCAAAACATTCTAAATTACACACACACATACTAAAAAATACAAGCATCCCTCTCTTTTTGCCAACGTATACTGTTTGATTTCGATTTAAAGCTTTCGTGACTGCAGGGATTCATATTCTTGGTTCTTTCGGTTAAGTCACGTAGAAGGGAAATAATAAAATAAAACAATATCATCAGGTTTTCACAACTGATGATGATTCCTTGTGTTGCAATCGAAACGTCGTGAGAATTTCATTAGTTAATTTTTATTATTTCCCTTCTACGGGACTTTACCGAAAGAACAAAGAATATGTATACTAAATTTTGATTTAAAGCTTTCGTGACTGCAGCAATTCATATTCTTAGTTTTTTCGGTAAAGTCACGTTGAAGAGAAACAACAAAATAACAAAATGATGACCGTTTGAGTTATGGTCGAAACGTCGTGAGAATTTTTTATTGTTTTATATATATTTTGTTATTTTGTTGTTTCTCTTCAACGTGACTTTACCGAAAAAACTAAGAATATAATATGTATACTGTTTGGGCAAGTACTATTAACAGTGCCTATTAAGGCTGGTACAGAACAATGCCCAGCAGCCTTTGGCTTTCCAGTGATGTTATCACTAAGACTGTGCTACCACTCTCCAAAAAAAACAAAGATCTCCCATATAACCTTAACAGATTGTTGAGCTAAGTGCTGTTAAGGAGCACTTATGAAGGCCGGCACGGTCCACGAGGGGGCGGGTGGCCAACACCACGCCCGACCGCCTTTGTCTCCCCAGTGGCGATGTTTTTACACACCGCACCAGGTACTCATTTGAGGCTGAGTCGACCTAGGGGAGGCCCAGGAGCAGTTCAGATAATCGTCACTGGTGTTGGCCGTGGGCGAGAACAGAACTCGGGTCGCCGGGTTCATAGCACAGCGCGCGACCGCTCCTCACACATACAAACACACTCATATACCACACTCACTCTCACATAATAAACATACGTGCGCACACACAAACACCATACGGTGGAGAGGAATTTAAACATTTAAAAACGGAGCTGCTAAAAATGTTGACATTTCAGCCGATGACACCGATGGAACACCCTGGTCGACTCACTCGTGTGAACGACAGGGATGCAGGAATTCAGCCCGTCCACGAGCTGACGAAAGGTCACGTTTCAGGGCCACGATCACATCCAAGAATCAATTATTATTCCGTCCTGCAGCTGTACACGTCCATTGACTCCACGTGCGTAAATGGGGCCAGTGCCTTACTGTTCGTGGTCTCAGCTTTCGGCCGGCTGTGGGGCCATTAACTTGAGTTTGATGGACTAGAAGTTGAAAGACATTTGAGTGAAAAAGTACTCATGGGGTGAAATGGACGGGCGTTCTCCCTGGTAGCTGTGGCTGCGTGCTCAACGCTTGACTGGTGTTAATGGGCCAAGCGCCTGGCCGTCGCCGTCACAGCTTGAGTGGGATGATGGGCCAGTACTTTGGCCGCGTGCGGTCGCAGTGCTGGTCGAACGACAGCTGCATCGCGGCCTCCAGCGCGAGGATCCGTACGCACGCCTCCTCGCCGTACAGACGCGCCATCTCGACGCGCCGACGCTCGCCCGGCCGTTCTTGTGGAGCCAGGCTACTCGCCTGCACGCGCACACACAGGACACAAAGATCCCCTGCGTTTAGCCTTCAACAGACTGTTGGGGCAAGAGCGTCACGGCACACGAGGGGGTGGGTGGCCACCACCACGCCCGGCCGCCTTCGCCTCCCCAGTGGTGAGGGTTACACACCGCACCAGGTACTCATTTGAGGCCGAGTCGACCTAAGCAAGTCCCAGGACCGGTTCAGATAATCGTCACCGATGTTGGCCGTGAACGGGAATCGAACTCGGGTCGCCGGCTTCGTAGCGCAGCGCGCTAACCGCTACACCCTCACTCCCCACACATGCATGTACAAAACAAAGACAAAGATCCCCCGTATAGCCTTAACAGACTGTAGGGGCAAGTGCTGTTAGCGAGCACCTATGAAGGCCGGAACGGTACACGAGGGGGTGGGTGGCCAGCACCACGCCCGACCGCCTTTGTCTCCCTAGTGACAATGTTTACACACGGCACCAGGTACTCATTTGAGGCTGAGTCGACCTAGGGGAGGCCCGGGACCGGTTCAGATAATCGTCACTGGTTTTGGCCGTGAGCGGGAATCGAAACCCGGGTCGCCAGGTTCATAGCGCAGCGCGCTAACCGCTACACTATCGCTCCCCACAACACATGCATGTACACACGCGGCTACACAAGCATGCAAGTGCACGTGCACTTACGTACACACGTATACACACACACACATTGCTTGTGATGCGAGTGCCGTGTCAGACGAGTCGATGTGAGCGAGCTCATCACCTGCCTCGTCCCCGGCGGCTCATCTGCCCACACCATTCCCTCCGCTCGTTCATCTTCCTGCTCCTGCTCCAGCCCTGAGAGAGAGAGAGACAGAGGGCGAGAGAGCACTGGCGTTAGCGCCGATCAAATATGGGTGCACATGTGCAAAGACAATGATCCCCCATTATAGCCTTTGACAAGACTGTTTCAGCAAGTGCTTTTAGCGAGTGTACCCATGAAAGCTGATGAGGCGCACACGAGGGGTTTGTGGCCAAAACAACACCCGACCGCCTTTGTCTCCCCAGTGCTGATGTTTACACACTAAACCAAGTACTACTTTAAGGCTGAGTCAACCTAGACGAGGACCGGTACCGGTTCAGATATTGGTCACCGATGTTGAAACGCACACACGCACGCAGACCCACACATGCACACACAAGACTCACACAAAGAAGCAAAGATCCCCATGTAGGCTACAATGCCTTTGTGGGCTACTGCTGTTAGCGAGCACCTAATAAGACCAGCAGTGTACAAGGGCTAGAGGTGCCAGCACTACGTCCGGCCACCTTTGTCTCCACAGTGCTGACGTGGGCCTGCAATCGAACTCGGGTCGCCAAGCTCAGGGATAACGAACCTCACTGGACTCTCACCGCTTTAACTAAAGCACAGCGGGATGTGATTGATAATTTAAAGAGTGCAGCAAACGCAGCCTGCAGAGAGCGCTATCAGCACAGGCAGGGCCTACGAATGCCACACTTCAAGAATCCAAATAATAATAATAACTTAACCCAGGCAACCACACCCGAGTCCAATGACTCTTTTTCAGGAGGGTCCTGCATGATATGACTTTAAATGAAGATGTTTTCGGCCAATTATTGTGGTGTTTATGCACTTTGGAGGAAAACCAGAGCGCCCAGAGAAAACCCACGCTTGCAAGTTGGGCAACACTCTGTAGCATATGGATGGGGCAGATGGAGATTAGTCCAGTTATCTGTTCCCCGCCTTCTCCTGGCGAGCCAGGGTATGGCAACTCGCTGCCCAAAGGCAAGGGAGCTTCACAAAATTTTGCGTGATTCACCAACCCTCACCTCTAGTGCTGGATTACAGGTTTTGCGAGCCGTCGCCGCCACCACCTGGCTAAGAATGCATAGGCCATTGAAGAAATTGGTACTACCTAAGGTCGCAAAGCTTTGGTAGAAAACGTCTGCCACCAATCACAACACCCTCTTCCTGATTACACCCACAACGCTTGCCTGCAAGATTCTAATGAGACGTATGGTCAGCGAGCGACAAGAGTGATGGATTCGATACCTAGGCGATAAAAGTTATGGGGTGCGACGCCTGCGGTGAGCGAGCGGTTGCGATGGGTTCGGCGTCCGGCTCATCGGCACTCACTCCTCTCCTCGCGGTGTCGCTCGGTCTCGGCGAAATACGCGCGCAGCTCGTCCGTGATTTCCACGTCGCTCTCCGCCTCCGATTCCGACTCGGACTCCGGATCCGAATCCTCGTCTGGTTCTTCGCTCCTCAGATCCGGAACTTCGTCAATCAGTTGCTGCTGCCAATGCTGCCGCTGCTGATTATGGTGATAATGCTGATGCTGCTGATGATCTCTCTGATGCTCGGTAGCCTGTGACGAGAAGTGATGATGTTCTGGCATTTCCTCGTGCTTCTGATGATGATGCTGCTGCTGATGATGATAATGATCATGCTGCTGCTGATGATGACGTCTCCGATGGCCGGCAGCTTGCGCCGAGCAGTGATTGTGACCCAGACACGGAGGGTGTGATTGGGGGCCGTGGTGAGATGCAGCGTAGGGATGCGATGGATCGTACGGAAATGGGAGCCCAACTAGGCTGCTCCAGTCCAGGCCTTGCCTGTGCAGCGACAAAGAGAAAAGAAATTCAACTCGGGAATAAAAATATATATATACATGAAGTGAGATTGGGCAGGACACATAGCTAGAAGGGATGAAGGCCGGTGGTCGAGACCAACGTCGGAGTGGCAGCCAAAGGCGAGAACGCGGCCAAGAAGACATCAACCACAGTCATGGTGAGTGACATTAGCTTGTGAGAAGGTGCTAGGATTGCTACATTACAGAACTGAGAGATGGTGATGGCTTGGGGAGGCCTTCAATCCAGCAGTGAATTGAGTATGGCCGATGGTGATATAGGACTGGCAAGCTACATAGGCTGGTTGGATAGTTAGACATAGGGAAAATGGCTGGCTAGCTTGCATATTTATGGGTCATGTAATGGGCTGGTTGGCTAGTTAGGCACGGGGGGAAGTGGCTGGCTGGTGTATCTATGGGTGGTCTAATGGGCTGGTTGGCTAGTTAGGCATGGGGGAGGTAACTGGCTGGTGTATCTATGAGTGGTCTAATGGGCTGGTTGGCTAGTTAGGCATGGGGGAGAAGCGGCTGGCTGGTGTATCTATGGGTGGTCTAATGGGCTGGTTGGCTAGTTAGGCATGGGGGAGGTGGCTGGGCGGTGTATCTATGGGTGGTCTAATGGGCTGGTTGGCTATTTAGGCACGGGGGAGAAGTGGCTGGCTGGTGTATCTATGGGTGGTCTTATGGGCTGGTTGGCTATTTAGACACGGGGGAGGTGGCTGGGCGGTGTATCTATGGGTCGTCTAATGGGCTGGTTGGCTAGTTAGGCATGGGGGAGAAGTGGCTGGCTGGTGTATCTATGGGTGGTCTAATGGGCTGGTTGGCTATTTAGGCACGGGGGAGAAGTGGCTGGTTGGTGTATCTATGGGTGGTCTAATGGGCTGGTTGGCTAGTTAGGCATGGGGGAGGTGGCTGGGCGGTGTATCTATGGGTGGTCTAATGGGCTGGTTGGCTATTTAGGCACGGGGGAGAAGTGGCTGGCTGGTGCATCTATGGGTCATGGTAACGGCGCTGGCCAAGGGTCGCGTGAGCGCGCCCCACTCACGCGGCCTCCGTCAGCGCTCTCCGCCGCGCGTTCTGGTGCCTCCGCGTCCAGGCCTGCGCGTCGCGGTAGTGGCTCCAGTAGCGCGCGTACACGGGGTGCGCGTACCACGCGGAGCCCCCCGTCGCAGCCGTCGCCTCTTCCTGCACGCCACAAAGATAAAGAAGCACCCCCCCCCCCGTATAGCCTTGAGCAGAGTGTTGGGGCAAGTGCTGTTTGCGAGTAGTAGCACTTATGAAGGCCGGAAACGGCGCACGAGGGGGTGGATTGCCAATAATGCGCCCGACCGTCTTTGTCTGCCCCGGTGGCGATATTTACACACCGCAACTAGGTACTTATTTGAGGCCGAGTCCACCTAGGGGAGACCACACACACACACACACGGGTTTGATGTCGGGGTCATTGAGTGGCCATTGTCCGCCCCCTAAGGTTGCCAACTTTTCCCACTTGAGGCCAAACCCCGGATATAGTTCTCGGCCAGCCTGCGTCTACGAAACAAGTGCAGTATAAACATGGATGTTACTGTATGTTGAACTTCTTTCGTGCCGTACGTAGCCAAGCGTGCTCAAGGGAGGCGCTACAAACCTCGGCACCAAATGGATTCTTACCATCCCGGTACAGATCCCCGCACTATCCGCGCCAATCCCGGACAGGTGGCAACCGAAGTTGTTACCTCATTGTCAGTCCACTGCTGGATGAAGGCCTTCGCATACCGCGGGGGGGGTCATTTGACTACACCTCACCACCGTTAGCAGTGCCGTTGGGGAGCACGACATTTGCTCCACATCAACCTGTTTGTATGCACTCCGGCAACACGCAGCCTTTCGCGACCAATATCAACTATAATTACAGGTTGTTGTTTTTTTGTGTTAGATCGCGTAAATATAGAAATGTGTCGTTAAACCCGCCACCACCCGACACAGCCAACTAGTAAGGTTTGTCACGTAAACAGAACATGGCCAGTTCGTTACTGGTACAGCACGCCGGTGTGTTGGAGAGCAAAGCCACAACATTTACAACCGACGACACGTATTTTTACGCGATCTAACCCAAACAAATCCAGTATTATGTTGTATGCACGATGATGACCCATCCAAGAAATATTCAGGCTCGGCTTTGCTTAGCTTCCCTGATCTGACGAGGCCTCATTCTGGGCTCATCTGCACACAGCCGTCACCCTGCACACAGCCGTCACCCTGCACGCAGCCGTCACCCTGCACGCAGCCGTCACCCTGCACACAGCCGTCACCCTGCACACAGCCGTCACCCTGCACACAGCCATCACCCTGCACACAGCCGTCACTCTGCACACAGCCATCACCCTGCACACAGCCATCACCCTGCACACAGCCATCACCCTGCACACAGCCGTCACTCTGCACATAGCCGTCACCCTGCACACAGCCGTCACCCTGGACACAGCCGTCACCCTGCACCCAGCCATCACCCAGCACACAGCCGTCACCCTGGACACAGCCGTCACCCTGCACCCAGCCATCACCCAGCACACAGCCGTCACCCTGCACACAGCCGTCACCCTGGACACAGCCGTCACCCTGCACACAGCCGTCGCCCTGCACACAGCCGTCACCCTGCACACAGCCGTCACTCAGCACACAGCCGTCACCCTGGACACAGCCATCACTCTGCACACAGCCGTCACCCTGCACACAGCCATCACCCTGGACACAGCCGTCACTCAGCACACAGCCATCACCCTGCACACAGCCATCACCCTGGACACAGCCATCACCCTGCACACGCCGTCACCCTGCACACAGCCATCACCCTGCACACAGCCGTCACTCTGCACACAGCCGTAACCCTGCACACAGCCGTCACTCTGCACACAGCCGCCACCCTGCACACAGCTACACAGCCATCACCCTGCACACAGCCATCACCCTGCACACAGCCGTCACCCTGCCACGGCTAAACAACCGAGAATAGCACCCCCACATCCTATAACACAACCTGAAGACGTTTGTCCCACAGTGTCACGGGGAGCGGTCGCGTAGCGCTACGCTGCGCTATGAACCTGGCCACCCGGGATCGATTCCCGCTCACGGCCATCACCCAGTGACGATGATCTGAACCGGTCCCGGGCCTCCCCTAGGTCGACTCAGCCTCAAATGAGTACCTGGTGCGATGTGTAAACACCGTCACTTAGGGAGACAAAGACGGCCGGGCGTGGCTGCTGGCCACCCACCCCCCTCTCGTGTGCCACAGTGCCGCTAACAGCACTTGCCCCCTACAGTCTGTTAGAGGCTAAATTGTCTTGCCATGGCCACGTGGCTCACAGCGAGCGCCCGTCGGCTCCTCACCTCCCTTCCCGCCATGGCTCCCCCTGCCACGTGAGTCGGACAACGTGCGCGGTGAGGGGCCGCGACCATTTGCCTTCGCGACTGTACCGGAGGTTCACATTGGAGACCGCCCCTAAACCCTCGCCCCGCCCCGCCCCCAGCTAAGGTTAAGGGACCGCGGCGATTTTGCAATTGTAAAAAGCAAGAGAGGCAAAGATTTGAGTAGTCTTTGGTTATTTCGATAAGTCACGTAACGTCGTGATATATTATTTTTTGTTTTATTTTATTTTTCTACCTACGTGACTTTACCGAAAGAGCTAAAGAGTATGGATCCCTGCAGTCACGAAAGCTTCAAATCAAGAAAGATTTTAATCTTTTGTGGGGGGTTTTTTAATGGGGGGCGATTGTACGTAAATTGGGATAATTAGGCTTGATTTATTGTATGGAATTTTATATCCGCCCCCCTCACCACCCGGCAAGAATAGGGAAATATTTTCTGGAGCTCAGCCCGAGACAGCTCCTTCGCTGAATAAGTGATTATTCGCCACTAATAACCGTTAATAATATTGTGTAAGACCGTAAAGATTGTTTTTTTAATAAACATATTCAAATAAGAATAAAATACACAATAATTTACGAAAAAATTATAACACAAATAAATAATTAAACTGAGAGTTCCTTGAGATGTCAATCTTTTTCGTGCGAGATTTTAGATTTCAGATCCAAATGTACGGCGCAAAACGTGGCAACAATCAACACCATCAATATCATCCACACACCATCATTACAATCCACACATCAGCAACAACAACAACCGCCATTCGCCACTAAGTGACGGTGACGTCACAAACGGCGCTTGTGCCAGGCGATGTGCACGTTAAAGGCCACGTGAAGTGTCGAACGCCCGCTGGCAGGAGTTCACTTGAGCAGACTCAGGCGATGCCATGGGTCGACTGACTGAGATGACTTGCCGATGCACCACCTGTGCCCCCCTACCGTGATAACTTAACCACACATCACCACCATTACTAGAATTCACACACAACCACCATATAAACAAAGACAAAGATCCCCCGTGTAGCCTTCACATACTATTGGGGCAAGTGTTGTTAGCGAGCAGCGATAAAGGCCGGAACGGCACACGAGGGAGTGAGGGGTGGCCAGCATCACACCCGGCCGCCTTTGTCTCCCTAGTGGCAGTGTGTTTACACATCGCACCAGGTACTCATTTGAGGCTGAGTCGACCTACGGGAGGCCACCACCATCACTACAATCCACACACAACAACCACCATCACGCATCATTATCGACATCATGATCACCACCACCACACGCGGCACAATTTCCACCAACATCACATCATTGTCCCCATCGCTCACCACCACATCACACCATCACACGCGCCTTCACTCACACCATTATCTTCCATCTCCTCTGCTTGTTTCTGCCAGTGAGCGGTCATATCCTGTGCCTGTTTCTGATTTCCTTCCTGTGCTCCTTCAACTTCGCCTGCATCCTCTCCCGTGTATCCCTATTGTCCCTTAATCACCACCATCACCATCACTCACCATTATCACCACCAACCTCATCACTCACACCAATATCATCACTACTTTCCACACACACACGCACGCACGCCGTAACCACCATCACCACCACCAACCACACACCCACCCACCATCATCATGCTCCTTACATCACTACCATCGCCACATCCATCACCTGCAGCCACGCAGACGCCATCATCACCAACACTCTTGTACCCGCGTGGCTGGGACACGTTCCAGCCACGCGGGCGCAATCATTCATGTCGATGCCATTTTATCTTTGACGCCACACGGTGCGACCACGGTGGTCCGTTTTGCCATGGCCGCACATTTCTCTTTGTCCACTCCATTATCTCTGTCGTTTAATAGCCATTGATTTTACGCCCAGGTCGCCTCGGTTGGCCTTTGTCTGCTGTGAATGGCGAGGCGGCGATGTTGTCCACTTGAGCGTGTAAGCAGACACCGCTCGAACAATGCTGTCATGCGTTGTGTTTTTTTTGTCCTTAAATTTCTATAAAATTTAAACTTTATTCAGAAGTCAAAGTGTATCTCTGTTTAAACGAGGAGATGCAAGTTGTATTTTTTTTAAATGTATTTCCGATATCTTACTTCCTAATTTTATTCTGGCATGTCTTGAGACGGAGACTCCGTTTTGGATCTCTCGCAGGACAGTTACAACCTCCCTTCGTGATAGATAGTAAAAACTGCCCGCGGAAGTGGACAACACAGAGTTACCGCAAAGATACCTTAAGTGACCTGTGGTCCACACGGCAAGGGGGCAGCACCTCCCCACCCGCTCTGCCACCGGGAGTATGGAATTTTGCCAAATTAAGAGCTAAACAAATACGATTTAAACAAAAATCAGTTTGCTTAAAGGTTGACGGATGAAAGTCTTACGTCATTATATGTGGCAAGGCAGAGGCGGTGGCCAGGAGATGGCAGCAAAGCAGTGTGTTTTGTTCAAAAACAGCACATTTCACTTGGATCTACATACGTGCATTAAATCCATCTGTGTGGCCCTCTGAACGCTATCCCCTCGCACGCTTGTTTTCTCCAGGTACTCTCTCACACGAAGCCAAATACTCATACGTGGAATTGGCCAAACATCGAAATGCAGGAGCCCCCTAAAAAAGGGGTCCTGGGGCTCATTTCGGCTTTCCTGTATACAGGGCATAATTGTTATTGTTGCTCGGAGGTGAAGCGATGGTGGGCAGTGGCACTCAGTTAGATTTCAGGCCACGGCTAACATCAATGAGTGGCAAATAATATCTGAACCGGGCACCGGCCCCTGCACTTTTACCGTGGGTGAGGTATGGCCAAGCAACTCCCGGGGTGGGGGAGGAGGCCTTCATCCAGCAGTGGAGTGACAACAAGGGATGTAAATGTACATTCAAAACACCTCTTCTCCTATGCCTTCATTCGTGTCGTTGCTGTGGCGTCCTGTCTGGGGGCGAGAAGCCACGCGTTTCTTTTGGCGTCACTTCTTTCTTTCCACGCGACAAAACGATTCCACTTCAATCGCACAACCCAACCCTTGAAACAGAAGAGGTGTGGGTGGGGTGGTGGTGGGGTGCGTCTTATAATCCGGAGAATACGGCGGTAGCTCAAGAAAGCAGAAACACTCCGCACATTCGTTCTTAGAAGAAGAAACGATGTATACAGTGATTGGTGACGTTCTGCGCTATGACCCCCATCTGTGCTATGAAGGGCCATTGCCCAAAACGTCGCCTTTTTTAAATTAAGGCAACATTGTTATTGACAAATGCCTTGACTTTGTTTTTTTTGTTCCTGTGCACCTTTGCCGACGCTGCAAGCAGAAGCAGCTTGACCAAATAATTCGCTTAAGAAAACAAAGTTATTGCAAAGTTATTACAAGCCTGCAGAAGTTGCTCAAGAAGCATGTCTTGCGTGTGATTTGGGTTACTTATCCTGTCGTTTTAAAGTACCGTATTTTCCGTATTATAATAGGCGCTTTTACCCCCGAATGCTTTTCAAATAAAAAGTTGGGGGATGCGTCTTATCCAGTATGTGTGTGTCTGATCAGCTTTCCCAGCAACCCGAGTTCGAATACCGCTCACGGCCAACACCAGTGATCTGTGACCCGTGCTGGGCCTACCTTAGGTCAACTCAGCCTTAAATGAGTACCTGATGCGGTGTGTAAAAAGACTACAACTGGGGAGACAAAGGTGGCCGGATTGGTGCTGGTCACATCCGGCCATCTCGTGGCCCGTGCCAGCCTTAACAGGTGCTCGCTAATAGCACTTGCTTCAATAGTGTGTCAAAGGTTATACGGGGGGGGGGGGGGGGGCGGCGGTCTTTGCCTTTGTGTACTTTGATTGACACCGGGCACAAGTTTTTGGTGCGTCCACTTTCTGGAGAATACGGTAAATCCATTCCATTAATGGGTCTATATAGGTGCGTGGGTCGCGTGCTGTGCGTGAAAGTGCATTCCATTGTTGTGATTTGGCGGGGTGGGGGTTTAAAATCATGCGAGCGAGACTAAGGACCTCATGCTTGCCTCCCATTCATATCCACACCTCGCCAAATCCACAAAGCAAGATGGTACATGCCGGGACGTGATGGTACACGCTTGGGTATTATGGTTTTTGTTTTGACGTGATAGTATGGGTCTATACTACATGATGGGTATCTTTCGAGACAAGATAGGAATTGACGAGACATGATGGTACTTGCAAATACAGTGAGGGGAAAAAAGTATTTGATCCCCTGCTGATTTTGTACGTTTGCCCACTGACAAAGAAATGATCAGTCTATAATTTTAATGGTAGGTTTATTTGAACAGTGAGAGACAGAATGACAACAAGGAAATCCAGAAAACGCATATCATAAATGTTATGAATTGATTTGCATTTTACTGAGGGAAATAAGTATTTGACGCCCTCTCAATCAGAAAGATTTCTGGCTCCCAGGTGTCTTTAATACAGGTAACGAGCTGAGAATAGGAGCACACTCTTAAAGGGAGTGCTCCTAATCTCAGCTTGTTACCTGTATAAAAGACACCTGTCCACAGAAGCAATCAATCAATCAGATTCCAAACTCTCCACCATGGCCAAGACCAAAGAGCTCTCCAAGGATGTCAGGGACAAGATTGTAGACCTACACAAGGCTGGAATGGGCTACAAGACCATTGCCAAGCAGCTTGGTGAGAAGGTGACAACAGTTGGTGCGATTATTCGCAAATGGACGAAACACAAAAGATCTGTCACTCTCCCTCGGCCTGGGGCTCCATGCCAGATCTCACCTCGTGGAGTTGCAATGATCATGAGAACGGTGAGGAATCAGTCCAGAACTACACGGGAGGATCTTGTCAATGATCTCAAGGCAGCTGGGACCATAGTCACCAAGAAAACAATTGGTAACAGACTACGCCGTGAAGGACTGAAATCCTGCGGCGCCCGCAAGGTCCCCCTGCTCAAGAAAGCACATATACATGCCCGTCTGAAGTTTGTCAATGAACATCTGAATGATTCAGAGGACAACTGGGTAAAAGTGTTGTTGTCAGATGAGACCAAAATGGAGCTCTTTGGCATCACCTCAACTCGCCGTGTTTGGAGGA